TTCCCCCCCGGATCCTCTTCCATCTTCCTACCCACCCACCGCCTGCCTCTCGAAGCAGTGAGTTGATTTGTGTTGGCTGACTTCTGCTGAGCGTGGGCCCTGCCCTTGGAGTGTGGTGGATGTAGCAGGTACCGCTTCAACAAAGAAACTGACTTTCCCTCTCCCAGCACCAATCACTTGTCAATAGCTCCTTGGCTAGGGGTGGAGCTCCATGTCCGGTTCCCTTCCTCCAGGCTGTGTGGACTGACCTTGTGTGCACCGTCAGGGTTGAACTTGTGCATTCTGTCAGGGTTGACCTTGAGCATGCTGTCTGGACTGAACTTGTGTGTGCTGTCAGGGTTGAACTTGGCATGCTGTCAGGGTCACTGGGAATCTACATGTGTATCATCCCTTTATGTCCAGAAAAAGTTGTTTCCTTGAAGTCATTCATTCGTCTCTGGCTCTTAAAATCTCCCCGCCCTCTTCCTCATAGATTCCTGAGCCTTGAGGGGAGGAAAGTGATATAGACATCCCATTTAGGGCTATGAATTTTGTCTTCATGCCTGCAGAGCAAGCACATAACCAAATAAGCTATCACCCCAGCCCCAAGAAGCAATATGCTAACAAATTGTGTAGTGATTCTTCCTCTCCGAGACAGTGCTGAGGACTGCTACAGGGTCATCCGTCCTCCCTCCCTTTCTCCCCGGCTCCCTGTCTCCTCTCCCTCCCTTTCTTTTCCCTTTTTTTGAAGATAGTTTTTCTCACATATTATATCCTGATTATGTTTTCTCTTCCTTCTTCTCCTCCCTGTTCCTCTCCACCTCCCTTCCCATCTGGATCCAGTCCCTTTCTGTCTCTTGTTGGAAAACAAATAGACTTCTAAGAAACAATAATAAAATATAATATAGGTATATTCCCAAGAGTGGTATAGCTGGATCTTGAAGAATTGCCACACTGGTTTCCATAGTAGCTGCACACATTTGCAGGTCCCTCTGTGACACACCTCCTCCAAGGCCATACTTCCTAACCCTCTCCAAACAATTCCACCTACTGGAGAGCGAGTGTTCAAATATAAGAGCCTCTAAAAGCCTTCTCATTCAAACCACAGTTCTGTTCATAGAGAGGTATGAAGCAGACTCTATGGTCTGTGACCTTCAGTTTTGACATGTGCTGCCAGGTTGATGAAGGTGGCTTCTAGCCAGAGCCTCACCGTGGAGCAGCTCGGCTTCATGCAGGTGTGCTTATTCACGAATCACAACATTTGGCCCTTTGGTACTGGTCTGTTTCTGTGGGGAAAACCTGCAGGGCAGTGACTGGTGTGGCTGTGTCAGTCTCTGGGCCCTGCCTCTGTGTCCTGTGGGATCTCAGGCAAGGTATGCCACTCTCTGACCTCAGTGTTCACACCTGTAGGTTAAAAGGCTTTAGGTTAACTCTCTGCAGATCCACACTTCTGGGTTAATTGATCTGGAGCGAGACTGGGGTGGGTGTGGCTCTTTATTGCTGCTGTACGGGCGGGGGGGGGGGGGTCACCAGTAAGCCAGATCAGGCAGAATTAAAAAAGTAAAAGAACAGGTTTATTTGAGCAAAGTGACTCCCAGGTGAGTTCTCCAGTCCCAGAGATGGAAGCAGAAGTCACAGGCCCGAACTGAAGCAGGACAGTTATGCACCCTGGAGGAGAGGGATGATGGTATGTCCTCTCCAAGCTGGGCTTGTGGCCAAGTGTGGTCAAAAGCTGACGGGCTGCTGACAACTTCAGGGGAGAGGCTGCCGCAGCCGCAGGAGTGCAGAACTGGACTTTTCTCTCTTGGAGATTCTCTGAGAGGGTGGGGTTTGGAGGGAGGAGTGGGGCTTTCTGAATCAAGCAGGAGTGAGCTGGGGGGCCCAGCTGGACAGTTTTCTCGTTCCCTGTGTGGGTCCCAGAGGTCGAGCTTATGCTGCTAGACTTGGTGGCAAGTGCCTTTGCCTTCTGAGTCATCTCAGCCCAAGAAGTTGTGTTTTGTTTTGTTTTGTTTTGTTTTTTCCCAAGAATTTATGGACTGGTGCCGGGATGGTGACTTTTCCAAGTCACTGAACTAATCACTTGCTAACCATACTTGACTCTGGAAAGGGAGCAGGAACAACATCTTGTCCTGAGTCTCATCTGGGCATGGTGGCACAGGCCTGTAATCCCAGCACTTGGGAGATGAAAGCAAGAGAGTTTAAGGATAGCCTGGGCTACAATGCCTACCATGAGGCTAACATGGGCTATGTGAGACTTCGTCTCAAAGATGAAATGAAGATCTTTTCCTGAGAACAGCTGCTATCGTTGGGAGCATATGCGTGTCTGTAGTCAGGGCGGCCAGCAGGTAGGCTTCTAGAGCCCCAGGAGATGGGCTGCTCCCACCTATTAGTCCCTCCTGGGTTGTAAGAGCTCAGCCTGCACTCCCTGCCCACCCACTGAGTCCTTCCCATTCTGCCTCAGAGTCTTGTTGAATATGGTTTGCAGCAAGCCAAGCAGGTTGTGGCTACCCTGCGGCAGGGAACCAGAAGGCTCCCTCCATTATCCCCTACCAAGCAGGGAATGACCTTCTCCTGCTGGGTCTCATTCCTCCCTTTGTTCTTTCGTCTTCGAGAAGATTTTATGCTTCTGATGACATACAGCAGAATTCTTTATAAACCCTTGAGGATTTTGAACTATTAGGAGTTTATTACAGAAAGTACTATGCACAGTGTTTTGTAATGTTTAAGAGGCCAGGGGGATCCTTTCTCTTCTCTTCTGTTACACCCCCCCCCCACAGAGACACTTACATACAAATACACACATATATACAAATATGCACATACACATATATACACATGTATACACACAGAGATACGTACATATACAATATGCACACTCCACACACATGCATACTCTATACACACACATAGACATAGACATACACATCCCATAACATATATGTACACACACCAAAATGGTGTGGCTAGGTTTTGAGATGACAGATAGCACTTTACCACCAGTATAATTTAGTGGTTCTGATCTTTTACGTCTATTTTGCATCACACACTGCTGTGTTTGCCATTTACAAATTAGATAGAAATAACGCCATATGGAACTGCCTGTTTCCTTTGGGTATCAGAGCCTCCTGGATACACTTGATAAGATCCAGGTTTCACAGACCTCACCCTAGAGTTGTGAGGTCGAAATCACTTGGGGAGGGCTCCAGGGAGCAAGATCACTGGGTGATTTTCCTGGTGCTTTGAAGGGTAGACAGAATTCAGACAAGAAAAGATCGAGAGAAGAAGGAAGAGCAGAGCATGTGGTGGGCACCGCCCTGTCTGGATTGAAACCTAGGCTCCTCCCAAGCTCCACGTCACCTCTGTGCCTCGGTTGGGCCATCCGTGAAATAATCAATCTATGAGACTCTGACATTTACCTATTAGTGACTGACGATTGAATGAGTGACATGTGAAATATATTTGAAGAGGGACTGGCCAATGGCTCTGGATGTGTTAGCTGTGACATTGCCCCATGCCAGATGAAGGACATGCACAAGGATTGACTTTACGAGAGAGGTAATCACACTTAGTGGTCCAAAGCTGAAGGCTCGGCAAGTGGTTTGTAAGAAATTAACCCGGGAGGTTTTCGCTTTGTTTAAAGAAAAGAAAAGAAACATTATCATTCTCACGATGATTCTAATCTGCAGTGAGGCCTGAAGATCTGCATTAGATTAGTCTTAAATTTTTATCACGTGTGTATGCGTGTGCACATGTGCAGGTATGTGCATGGGTTTGTGGAGGCCAGAGGTAATGTCTGCTGGCCTCCTCTGTTGCTCTCCACCTTATCTTTTTAAGCATGTTTTATTTTTGATAATTTCCTCCCTCCAAACCCTCACATACACTCTTCCCCACCCTCCTCCAAATTAATGACCTCTTTTTATCACAAACTGTTATTGCATGCATATATACATACATATTGGTAAATATAACCTATAAAGTCCATATAATGTTACTTGTATGTATATTTCAGGGCTGACCATTTGGCACTAGACAGCCAATTAGTGTGCTGCCTGGGGAAGACCGCCTCTCTCACTCCCAGCTTTCCTGGGTTGCCTTAAGTCCTTTGGGTAGGGTAGGGACTCACAGGCTTTCCCTGTCTGGTCTGGCATGTTCATTGGTGACATCCTTCTTCAGGTCACATTTGGGTGATCATGTTGGTGAGACTTGACAGGTGTAGCATCTGACGTTACTAGGAGACACAATCTTCCAGCATATCTCTGGCCCTCTTACAGCCTTTCTACCGCCTCCTCTGCAATGTCCCCTGAGCTTTATCTATCCGTTTCTTTAGATACAGCCTTGCACTGAACCTGGACCTGGCCAGTTTGGCCAGACTGGCTGATCAGTGAGCCCCAGAGAACCTCTGTTCCCTGCCTCTCCAGTGCCAGGGTTATGGGTGTGAGCCTCTGCTCTCTGCCTCTCCAGTGCTGGGGTCATTTGTGTGAGCCTCTGTTCTCAGTTTCTTCTTTTTAAACGTGGATTCTGAGGAATCCCAAGTGCGGATCCTTGTAATTTATCTTTATCACTGAACCATCTCCTCAGCCATTAAATTCATACATTATTTTTATTTGCTTATGTGTTTATTCATGCAGTACTTGTTTATCTAAGACTAGGGTGCTACAGGCTAAAGTAACAACTGTCCCCACTGAGCTACACTCCTGGTCCTAAAAGATTTAATAAAGATGACCAGAAAATTTCCAGAAGTCCTGGTTTCATTGGAGGAGGCCTGTTATTCAGAGTTGAAAGGTATACTAAGATTACAAAAGTGGGGCTGGAGAAATGGCTCAGTGGTGAAGAGCACTGACTACTCTTCCAGAGGACCCAGGTTCAATTCCCAGCACCCACATGGCAGCTCACAGCTGTCTGTAACTACATTTCCAGGCGATATGACACCCATGACAAAACAACAATGCACATAAAATTAGAAAAAAAAACAATTACAAAAGCGTGGACATTAACTGCATATTTTATATCTGCTTTATTAGGCGTGTCCGGAAAGTGGTAGAAGTATCCGGGAGGTCCAGTGTGCATCCTACAACAACAAGCCATTCATGGGCCGGTTTTATGAATGGGAACCATTTGCAGAAGGTAAGGCAACTGGGTTTGTTCCCCTGACTCAGCTGTGTTACTAGGAATTATTATTATTATTATTATATGTCATTATCATCACTTTGTTCTCCCAACCCTGCTGGTTTTCCGTTGGGCCTGGATATATTGAGGTGATCCTGGCTGGAGAAAATGTGACACTTAGAGCAGAATGTGACTCCAGAGGTCTTCAGCAGTTGTCCCTAGCACAGAATGTACTTGGACTGTCCTTGACTGTGAGGTGTGGCTGAGGACCACGGCCGAGAGCAGCAGCAGAAGTGGGCCGGAGCAGGGTGTGTGGAATGGTTGTCGATAAAGCATGAGCAAGCTGAGAGCCAAGAGGTTTTGGTTTTTTATTTTTAACTTATTTTTTAAGATTTATTTTTATTTTATGTACAGTGGCGTCTCACCTGCATATATGCTTGGGTAAGGATGCTGGATCCCCTGGAACTGGAGTTACAGGCAGTTGTGAGCTGCCATGTGGGTGCTAGGAATTGAACCCAGGTCCTCTGAAAGAGCAACCAGTGAGTGCTCTTACCTCCAGCCCTGTTTTGTTGTTGTTGATTGTTTGTTTGTTTGTTTGTTTTTAACCTTGATATCTATCAGAAGGGCTGATGTGTGTGCTTAAAAAAGCATGCAGATTGATAGTTGTTCCCACATCAGGAGACTTCTCATGTCCCTTCCAAACATAGAAGTGCCAAGGCCCCTTGCCATGTCCCAGTGATGGTCAGAAGTTGGCAGAGCTTCTCAGTACTGTTCCACATACTAGAGTCATTTTCTCGTTGTCAAAATTTACATGATAGCATGGAGTGTGAACTAAGCTATGTTTGGTTCTGAGTTGTTTCCTACGACGTGGTCTTAGCATTGGTCCAGGACAGCTTACGGGGATTCTACACTGGCAGTCCCATTGGCTGAAGATCTCTGCCTGGATGTTAGTCTTTGGCTTTAGCCCAAGGCAGCAGGTGGAGTTGCTGGGGTGCCCCAAAACCAAGTCCAAAACATTGCTATGATGTCAAGGATCTTAAGAATGTCAGGGGAAGGCTTGGTGGTAAGATGTGCTGAGGTTCATGAGGAATCTACTCCCTTGGGGGCCAAGCCAATATCACCTGAGGAGATACTAAGGTGCCTGTCCTGGCCCTTAGTAAGAGGCAAAGGAGATGGAAAGCTAACTGCTCTGAGACTGAGGACAAAGTCTCTCCTGTTTCCAGAGGAAAGTCTATGAGCTGTTATGTTCTCAGGCGGCCCTGTGACCTCAAGCTTGTTAAGAACAAACTTGGCTTTCAATGAGGGACCCTGTCTGGAAAGGTGTGCAGATAAAACATAGAGCCAGGAGAAGGCAAATAGCTGATGTGAGGTCCTGGGCAGCAAAGGAGGGAAGATTGAAGTTGGGTGGGGAGCAAGGGAAGGAGGGCCCAGGGCCCTGGTGGAGCAGGAGAAGGAAGAATCTAAAATCCTTGGAAAATAAGAGAAGTTTGATCTTTTCCTTTCTTAAAATGCTATGTTGAATTCAATATAGAATTATAACTTGGATCCTGAATGAGAAGGACATTGGTGGAAAGCGTGGTGAAATAGCAGCACATGCGTTCAGACGGGAGCACTACGCCAGTGTCTCGGTTCAGATGGGAGCACTACGCCAGTGTCTCAGTTCAGATGGGAGCACTACGCCAGTGTCTCAGTTCAGATGGGAGCACCTCAGTTCAGATGGGAGCACTACGCCAGTGTCTCAGTTCAGATGGGAGCACTACGCCAGTGTCTCAGTTCAGATGGGAGCACTATGCCAGTGTCTCTGTTCAGATGGGAGCACTATGCCAGTGTCTCGGTTCAGATGGGAGCACTATGCCAGTGTCTCGGTTCAGATGGGAGCACTATGCCAGTGTCTCAGTTCAGATGGGAGCACTATGCCAGTGTCTTGGTTGTATATAAACCTTCCATGGTTTTATAAGACAGGAACAAATTTGATGGAGGGTAGAGAAGATTGCTTTGTACTATTTTGACAACTATACTGTCCACCTGAAATGGTTTCAGATTATAAACTTTTTTTCATAAGAGATATTTGTGCTTTCATTTAGGTTGGTCTCATGACCACTCTGTGATTTTCTGTAAAGGCTTTGTATGGGTGAGGAAGAAATTGTGTAACTCCATCCCACCCCATTTGTATCCATGTTAGAATCTCAGTATGCAACTTCTATTGTTTGCAAGTAGGGTTGGGTTGTTGCGGATATAATTACCTAGGCTAAGGGGGTGGGAAGATGGCTCAGCAGTTAAGATCACTTGATGCTTTTCCAGAGGACTGGAGTTCAGTTTGCAGCACCCAAGCTGAGCAGCTCACAACCACCTGTACCTCCTGCCTCAGGGGTTCTAATGTCTTATTCTGGACTCCGAGGACATCTGCATGTACATGGACACATTCCCACACACAGATGCAGACATCTGCACATAATTAAAAGTGTAATAACTCTTTAAAATTAATTGCCTGGATTAAGTCTATGCTGGAGCTGGTGGGCTTATAACCCTAATGGATGGTGTTCTCATCAGAAGAGAAAGTTTTCCTACATCCCGTAGCGTCCAGCATATAGTGATGCTGTCACTTGGCTTGCAGGCACATCAGTGGCTCTGCCTTCATCATAACTTGTTGTCTTTCTATATGTCCGTGAACTTTCTCAGACCATAAACTGTAAGGTGAAATTAATCTTTTTCTTCCCACTTGCTTTTGGTCATGGTGGGTTATTTTGTTGGTTGGTTATTGTTTTGTTCTGTTTTGTTTTTAAGGCAGGATTTCTCTGTAAAGCCCTGGATGTCTTGAAATTCACTTTGTAGTCCAGGCCACATCAAACTCAGAGATTTGCCTGCCTTTGCCTCCCTAGTTCTGAGATCAGAGTTGTGGTGACAGCAGTTAGCTGGATCACAGCAATAAAAACCCAGATAAGACTGTGACCTTGTCAGTAATCTTTCTAGTTGTAATCAGGACTCTGGTTAAGGTGAGTTCATAGTGAAGATGGGTAAATCCGTATGTGATATGACTCCTGTCCTCAGGCATACAGCTGAGTATGACAAGAACCCAGTGTAAAGACATAGACAGCCATGACAGGCAGACAGGAAGTGAAGCAGTGTAGCTACAAGCAAGGAACACCAAGGATTGCCAGTAACTGCCGGAAATAAAGAAGAGACATGGACAGAGTTTTGTATGCCCTCCTCTCCGACACTTTAGAGAGAACATGCTCACTCCTTGACTTTTGTTCCTGGCTACCACATCTGTGAGTCTGTTTCTATTGCTAATAGTGTATGTGGCATGTTATATCAGTGCTAGGAAACTCACAGTCTCGATGATTTTCAATGTTAGGAAAACCGCAGAGTTGTCCTTTCTGATCATATTTCCATCCCTGAACCCTGCTTGAGGCAGGGATTCCTTGGGCTAGTACCCACATCTCATGAAACAGAGGTAGTCAAGTGGGGCTTGGGCTGACCTTAAAATATTCTTCCACAAAAGTCAGTGAGAGGTTTGGGGAGATGGCCGTGAAAGTGCTTACCATTCAAGCATGGGGACCTGTGTCCAATTCTCAGCACCCAGTAAAAAGTCAGGCATGGTGCGTACTTGAAATGCCAGTGTTGGGAGATGAATGATGAATACAGACTCGAGGACTCACTGGCCAGGTAGCCTAGAAAAGGTCCTCAAGGTAGGTGGTCCCTGAGGTTGACTATGGTCTCTGTGTGTGCAGCCACATGTGTGTCTCAGACCACTGAACATGCGCGTATGCACGCACATACACACACACACACACACACACACACACACACACACGCACGCACGTACAGAGAGAGAGAGAGAGAGAGAGAGAGAGAGAGAGAGAGAACAGTGTACTTGTCTTGACTACAAGCCACATCCAAAAGAGTCCAGGGTTTAGCAGCTATCTCCTAAACTCTGTTAACTAGACAATTCAGCCGTCTTTTATAATATTTACTAACAATGGTGTTTCTCACAGACCTACAAGGAGACAAATGGTTGCAGGAGTTGCATTTAGTTAAGCTTTGTTTAAATAATTTTTATTCTTCTTACTTGGTTTTTTTTCCCCTACTAAGACTCTTCCCTAACTTTCTTCTTCTTCCTCTCAAATGACTCCCAGGCTGAGCAGTGGGAGGGGGACGATGCTAGTGTTTCTGTGTTGTGTTCAGGCTTGACGGCTGGATTTTGCATTGGGCCCTGGGCTATGTTTGTATGTCTCCTGCTATTCGCTGGTGCCTACTCAGGGACACAGCTGCTCTCATTCAGCCCAATGCCACATAGAATAGTAAAAGCAGAGAGCAGGCTCTGATAAACACATTCGTTTCACCAGATGGTTCTTCTTGGGCCTTGAGTCGCATTTCCTGGCTTTGATGACCTCGGCTCAGACAATGCCTCTAGGAATTTTTCTCACAGTTCTGGACCTAAAGCTTGTAACAGGCTGGAAGGAGAATCAGCGCGCCCCGTGTCTGGTTTGGGGCCGTCACCTCGGCTCTCTTTTACTCTCATATTTGGCTTGGATAATTCGTTATGTGGTCACAACACCTCGAATGGAACAGTTTAACAAGAAGACTTGGACATTGGGGCAAATTATATGGTACTCCGTCTCCTGTTACACATGATGAGATGCATCCCGGGTCCCCTGGAGCTGCTGAAACATTGGGTAGTACTAAGTCATTGTGCTACTCAGAACGGTGCACAAGCTAACATTCAAGAATTGCTCACTTTTAGTATTTTCCACTTAATAATCTTTTAGTTAGTATTGACCCTAGATATTGAAGCTGGACGGTAAAACCAGACATTAGGAGACACCACTGTGCCTCTTTTCATCAAGGCCACTGGGGCAGCTGGCATTCTGATGTCAAATTCTGTTAGGTTGCTGTAGTCTAGACAGCAGATACTACCCTTCTTTGTGTGCTGATTCATTCCATAGTGCTGGGAAAGGAACCCAGGGCCTCCATGGGCCCGAAGCACTCTACCACTGAGCCACATGCCCAGCCCAGAT